AAAAGACTTCATCTCACATACTTTAGACATATTGTCAGGAGGGACCAGCCCCTGGAGAAGGACATCACACTCCATGAAGGAGAGTGTCAGTAAAAATCAATAAGATGCTCAATGAGATGGATTGACACAGTGGTGCAACAATAGGCTCAAACATAGCAATGATTGTGAGGATGGTGTATGACCGGGCAAAGTTTCATTCTGACTCTGGGGTCATTTGAACCTAGGGTCACTGTGAGTCAGAACCAATTCAGTGGCACCTATTAAGGTCTTCTAGTACTGCTCTAACAGAAAATACCACAAATGGATGGCCTTAAAAAAATAGGGATTTTATTCTCTTACAGTTTAGGAGGCTAGAAGTCCAAGTTCAAAGTGCCAGATCTAGGGGCTGGGTGAAAAACCCTCAACCTTGGGCTTTAGCTCTTCCCCTTGCTCCTGGCCCACAGAAGCTGGAGGCTTCTCTTAACTCAAGCAGCTGCTTGCTGCTGAGGCTGACAAACCCAAGATCCACAAATAAAATGGCACAGTTCCAAGATTACCAAACAACATGGCAAGCCACTAGTTCAAGTCCACAGACAGTTCCAAGATCTACAGGAAACATTGAAAGCTGCTGAATGAAGAGTTGTCTACATGTAGGGTTCAAGCATGCCAAAAAGGTCTGAGACCTTTCTCAGAGCTGTTTTCTTATATACTGGAAGTAGATCACATCCGTAAGGCAGCCACACAGCTGCTCCAGTGGATTCCACCATGGAGTTGATTAGCAGTCTCATCATGGGGAATAACTACATCCAGCTTGCCCAATCACTCAAACCAGGCCCAGCCAAGTTGACACACAACTTAAGTACCATAGCACCTAACAACAACATGCTTCTTCAAAAATTGCTTAAAGTTCTGTTGTTGTTGTTATGTGCCATTGAGTCGGATCTGACTCATAGCAACCCCTCTTGGGTTTCTGTGGTGGTATCACTACGGAAGTGGATTGCTCAACCTTCCTTCCTAGGAGTGGCTGGTGAGTTTGAACCGCCAGCCTTCTGGTTAGCAGTCAAATGCCTTAGGCACTATGCCACCAGAGCTTCTTTAATTACTGTATCTCTATAGATCCACTCTCTTCATGTGTATGCTGAGTGCCTCAGTTTCCTCATTTGCAAAATATAAATAGTAATTGCAAGATCTGCCTCACAGAGTTACTATGAGGACTAAATATGTTAGTTCATGGAAAGGGCTTTGAACAGTGACTAATACGTATTAAGCATTCAATAAATGTTACCTACCGTGTCTCTTATCTTTTCTTTAAGTAAGTACTATCTTTTTATATTTTGTATCTGATGGTTTAGAGCATTTCCTAAGCTGATTCTTTGGTTTACTGAATGACTTGGTATTTGTCTACTGCCTCTACTAGTTCAGCTGTGTATTTTTACTTCATAAAACTGTTAATTACTCTCAGATTAAAAATAATAATAATAAATAAAAGTGGCCATAGAGTCAACTCTGATTCATGGCAATCACATACGTGCTAGAGTAGAACCGTATTCCATAGGATTTTCAATGGCAAAATTGTTGAGAGTTGATCATCAAGCCTTTTTCCCTAGGCACCTCTTGGTGGACTCAAACCTCCAACCTTTTGTTTAGTAGCCAAGTGTGTTAAGTGTTGTAAAAATGGCAGCTTGGCACCAGAGGGCCTCTAACTTCAGGAGGTGGGGAGGATGATCACTGACAACATCAGCCCAAGGCTGATTTCCATGAGATGGAGGTCCGACAAACCTCAACTCTCCAACCTTTTTTTTTTTTTTAAACCAATTCTGACACCAGCCCTCACAAGGCACTCTCTGCTTCTCTGTTAGATTTGTTTATTTATTACAGTGGCCACACAGAACTCCTAGTTCATATTCACAATTACGGGATTTATTAGGAAAGGAACAGGTTACAGTTCAGGATCAACATCAACTTGGAGGTAACAGGAACAACTCAAGATACAGTTCTTAGATCAAGACAGCTTCTTCTCGGTTGCTGCTGCCAGGCCCTGCGTTCTTGGCCTCTCCTCCTGCTCAGGCCTGGCCTCTGCCATACTTGGGCAAGTATTACAAAGCTCTTTAGCTTCATTGATTGATAAGTGCCCATAGGCACCCCCCTCCACCCGCAAGCCTCCTGCTCAAGAGCAAAAGCGCTCAGCCCTCTTGCTTTGTTAGCATGCCCACTGGAGCTGCCTTGCTCCATCGGCCAAAAAGCCCACAGTGTAGTTTCACACCAGTCCTCTGGTTCTCCTGCTGCGGTCTCTCTCCCGTTGGTCCTTGCCTTACTTGCCACCACTTCTTGCTGTCTTGCACTGGCTCTGGTGTTTTAGCTTTGTCTCCTGGGTCTAGGAGTTTACCAGCACAGAGACCCTGGGTCCAAAGAATGTACTGTACTCTTGGCTCTTCTTGATGATAGTGAAGTCTCCTCCTGCTCTCTGGATTTGGCTTTTTTTAAACCTAGGGGGATGGCAAAACTGGCCAATCCCCTACAAGAGTTCTCTATGCTTTATTTGCATGGTCTCACCCCTGCAAGTGTTCCATGCACCTTATTTTCATCATTAGCATGTTGTCCTCTTGGTGAGCCTCAAGCACCTTATTTGCATAGTCTCAACCAATCATTTTGTGAAAGTTGCCGACCATGACTAGAAGGGCCATATAAAGTAATTCACTGCCCTGCAACTTTTGTACCACCTAAGGACTTCTCATTCTCATATTGCTCCATTTTCATTAGAATTTGTATTTGTTTTATTGGTGCATCTTGAATTTCATAGTAAAACTATGAAGTAGAAGCTTTTTTTTGTGTATTTGTTTGTTTTATTGCTTGCTTTTAGTTCAAAGAGTCCTTACAATAATATGTTTAGCTGGAAACCCTTTTGGGGCTTCACTTTTGAATTGCAAACTCTCTGTTTCTTGTGACTTTTTTTCCCCTGTCTACTTGTACTTAAAAATGGAGGTATAGTTTTTCAATAATTATAACACTTCTTGCATTCCCAGGGGAAAAGAGAATGGAAAGTTGGAATTTATTATAATTTTGTCTGAGATGGGGGATGGAAGTCAAGGCAGAGGGAGATAGCCAATCCAATTTGCATCTGTGGTGTGCATCTTTCATTCCCTGCAGTTGTATGTGTGGTGTGTGTATCTGTGCTTCTGTCTGTACACCAGTGATAGTGTTCAAAAAAGCAGATTTTGAAACATTTTGACCAGAAAACTCTTGTTTAGTGTCTATCTATATCTATACACACCCACATATATATACACACATATATATACAAATAAAATTATATTAAACAATATACTTTTGTTGATGATTTCAATCCTGTATTTGATACAAGGTTGGGAACAAAGAATACCTTTAGTAAAAACATTGTTACATAACTATTACTGAGAGATCCAAAACCCATTGCCATCAAGTTGATTCTGACTCATAGCCACCCCCACTGGGTTTCCAAGGCTGTAAGTCTTTAGGGAAGTAGATTGCCCCATTTTCCTCCTGTGGAGCAGCTGGTAGGTTTGAACCACTGACTTTCTGGTTAGTAGCCAAATGTCTTACCCACTACACCACCAGAGCACCTTTTGTTGTTGTTGTTGTTATGTGTTGTTGAGTTGTCTCCGACTCATAGCAACTCCTTCTTGGGTTTCTGAGGCAGTATCACTATGGAAGTAGATGGTCCAGTCTTCCTTCTGAGCAGTGGCTGGTGGGTGTGAACCGCCAAACTTGTAGTTAGCAGTTAAGTGCCTCAAGCACTATGGCACCAGAGCTCCTTTACTGAGAGAGTAAAAAAAAACAAAAAACAACTCACTACCATCAAGTCATTTACCAGCGATAGCGACCCTCCTTGGGTTTCCGAGGCAGTATCTCTATGGAAGTAGATTGCTCAATCTTCCTTCTGAGGAGTGGCTGGTAGGTGTGAACCACCAGCCTTCTGGTTAGCAGTCAGATGCCTTAGATACTATACCACCAGAGCTCCCTAACATGAAAATGCCAGAAAATGTATTTGAGTGTAATATTTTATTTCTAAGACTATTAAATATACTGTCTTCTTAGTTCTCTGAATTTTATGGTTCCATTATAAATAATATTTTTTCATGTATTTTGATATTTTATGAAATGGTCTTTATTTTTAGGATTGTAGCATAAAAAGTTATGTAAGACACTTTAAGATAAGGTTCATAGGTTAAATGTCCATCTTATTATAGCCCTTATGGACGAAAGCGGTCAGAAGATATTATTTCATTTATAAAAGCTGAAGTGCATCTTGCAATTCCTAATGTGGTAAGTATTATTAAATATTCAAGCTAATACAATGATATCTTGGTAATGTATTCAAGAAGTACTAAAAGCGTTAGAACTGTACTGTCATTTAGAGTAACCCCTTGTTATATTTTTAACTTCATTTCAGTCTTTAACAAAAATTCAAAATGTTGCCATTTATATCTATTATAAAAGAAAAAAATCACTTCTGGATCGCTCATGGTGAAGGTTGGCATAAGAATTGAATCAAGTGTCTATTCTTCCACCAGTTAGCAAGCATCCTACAAATCTTCTTGTTCTTTTCTTAATTCAGACATTATCTAAATAAAACCATCTCAGAGCCCCAAATTCCTACCCAACTAAACACACAACAGTGGGGTAAGAATAGGAAGACAGAAGTTGCCTATGTTCTGAACATCATGGATCCCCTGCATCTTCCTGTGGCACGTCTCTTCACCACTACCCCAGCTGCTTATTGGCACCTGTAACTCTAAGCCATACAGGGTGACTGAGGTGCTTTCTGGAATGGACCAAGGGAGGGTAAGACCAGGCAAGAACGATTAATCTATGACTCATCTACAACCACATCGACACTGTTTAGCCTCCCAGAGGATAGTTTCTTAGCTTATTTGGCATATTTCAGAGAACTGGGGTTAGCATCTTGGTAGTATAGTTTGTTCTGTTGTTTTGCACCATGGACATCCAGCACATAGTCCACAATTTTCTGCTACATCCAACCACCCTCACAGGGGAGAGATGACAAGTACTGAGTTTGACCTTTCTACTTGTGGGAATTGATGGAAAGGGAAAACTTCAGAATAGGTATCTTAATTACCTAGTCCTGCTATAACAGAAACACAAGTGGGTGACTTTAAAGAAAAGAAATTTATCTTCTCATAGTTGAGGAAGCTAGAAGTCCAAATTCAGTATGTTGCTCTAGGAGGAGTATCCTTCCTTGTTGGTAGCCTTGTGAGTTCCTTGGCACTCCTTGCTGTTCCTTGGTGTTTCTTGGCATCTCTCTTACCCTTTGTGTGTGTGTGTGTCTATTCCATTCTTTTTATAACTCAGAAGTAATTATATTTAAGACCCACCCTACTCCGGTATTACCTTATTAACATTAAAAAAAAAAAAAAAAAAACCCAAACTCACCATCATCCAGTCATTGCTGACTCAGCAACCCCCATTGGGTTTCTGAGGCTGTAAATCTTTATGGAAGTAGATTGCCCCATCTTCCTTCCATGGGACAGCTGGTAAGTTTGAACTGTTGACTTTCCAATTAGCAGTCACGTGCCTTAAACATAACAAAGGAAAATCCTTATTTCCAAACACAGTACCAAAACAAACAAACAAACAAATAAATAAAACACAGAAAACCAAACCCGGTGCTGTTAAGATGATTCCAACTCATAGTAACCCTTTAGGACAGAGTAGAACTGTCCCATAGAGTTTACAAGGCTTGGTGGAACCAGACTGCCACATCTTCCTCTTATGGAGTTGGTATGTTTGAACTGTAGGCCTTTTGGCTAGCAGCTGAATGCTTAAACCACTGCACCACCAGAAGTCCATGGTGCCACCAGTGCTTCTTATTGCAGGTACAGAGGTTAAGATTTCAATGCATATTTTGGAGAGTGGGCACAGTTCAATCCATAACAGAAGAGAAAGTCTGCAGCCCACTCTCTAACCTTCCTCTCCTCAAAGTGGTGTTCCACTAGGCCAGATGAGGCTCTCCTCACTCAGTAGGAGGTGGGATGGCAAGAATCAGAGAAGTGGGTTGTATGTGCTGACCGTACTATGAACTTGTTTCTTTTTTCCACAGGTAATGGTTCCTAGTTTGGATGACATTCAGCAGGCCATTAACCGTATGATCCAGTTAACCCTGGAGGTCAGCAGAGGAGTAGCTCACTGGGGACAACAGCAGGTCCGTCATATGAAGTCTGCAATTGTCAGTCCCACCCGTACCACTACTGACGTGACTCATCCAAGCACAGGAAAACAGATCAAGAGGGATGACAGTAAGAATGTTAAATATCAGATGAATAGAATCATAGAATCATAATGACTAGTAAATGGTCTTTACAGTTCTTCCCTTGACAGCATATAGATTTTAAAAGCTATTTTTATGTGTTTACTTGTTAAAATTTGCATTTGAACAAAAAATTAATGTTATCCATCTTCTGTCTTAAATATATAATCTTTTCAGCTCTTGGTCATAGGTGCACAAGAATTTTAATGCTATTCCATCATCATCTTAAATTAAAAATTAAATAAGCCTTAGTACTAATTCTCCTTTTAGCATGCATTTGGTCTAATAAACTTAGTTTGCTAGAAGATGATGGTTATAATATTTAGGTCATATGTTCCTTCTACACAAAGTCTACAAAGCTATTTCCTTAAGTAGGAATATGATACTGACCCAAAATTCTATGGGCATCTTTGGACACTTTGCTATATAGAAGTCAAATGTCCTGCTGGAAACACTGCCTGCACTAGTAACCTGGAAAATATAAATTAAAAACAAGAAGATATCATGTAACCTCACATGAGCAGATGGGCCAGATGATATGTTGCACCAATACTGTTCTCTCTCAGCTCATGTGTATGTCTCATGGAGTGTTCTGACAACCGGCTACTGGAGGATGAAAAATCTCAGGGCTGCCATCTGTAAAATGTACAAACTTCTATTGCTGTTCACTCAGTTGATTCCCAAAGGCTTTCCAGTAGCCAAAGGGTTAGGGAGAGAGAGAACCAATACCTTTGCGTCTGGCAAGGGATTGACAGGAGAGACCACCTACTCCTATTTTTGTGTAAGATCTAACATCAAAGCTTGATATTATGTGCTGCCCTGATATCTGGTATAATCAGGAGAACTTCAAATGGCCTAACCACAACTTTTGTTCCTCACTGTGCAACTGTGCATAAGGTCCACTAGCCAAATGACCCTCCTTACCAAGCACAGCAGGTATAGTTACTACTTATTTTTAAGTAGCAGGCTTCAGTTCCCTGACAGCCCATGGACTTATACAAACAAACCAATAATATCCTTCCATGGGAACCTACGGGGGGAGTGTCAGGGACCACAAACCAACCTTAATGATATGGATAAAGTAAATCTTTCGGGACCTCTGTGTGCTGATGTGGCATGACTCAAATTGAGGAGAAACAGCTGCAAGCATCCACTAATAATCAGAAAATGGAATGTACATAGTATGAATCTAGGAAAATTGCAAGTTGTCAAAAATGAAATGGAATGCATAAAGATTGATATCCTAGGTATTAGTGAGCTGAAATGGACTGGTTTTGGCCATTTTGAATCAGACAACCATATGATCTACTATGCCAGGAATGACAATTTGAATGGTGTGGCATTCATCATCACAAAGGATGTTTCAAGATCTGTCTTGAAGTACAATGCTGTCAGTGATAGGACAATAGCCATATGCTTACAAGGAAGACCCATTAATACTACTGTTATTCAAATTTATACACCAACCACCAAAGCCAAAGATGAGGAAATTGAAGATTTTTATCAACTTCTGCAATCTGAAATTGACCAAACATGCAATCAAGATGTGTTAATTATTATTGGTGATTGGAATGCAAAAATTGGAAACAAAGAAGAATCATCAGTGGTTGGAAAATTTGGCCTTGATGACAGAAATAGCGCTGGAAATCGCATGATAGAATTTTGCAAGACCATTGACTTATTCATTGCAAATACCTTTTTTCAGCAACACAAACAATGGCTATACATGTGGACTTCTCCAGATGGAGTACACAGGAATCAGATTGACTATATCTGTGGCAAGAGGCAATGGAAAAGCAAATGGAAGAAATGACAAGATAAAAGAACAGAAGATTTCAAAGAGCAGCTTGAGCAGACAAAGCCAATTACTGTAACGAAATATGCAAAGACCTGGAGTTAGAAAACCAAAAGGGAAGAACATGCTCAGAATTTCTAAGTTGTAAGAACTGAGGAAAAAAATTTAAGCCTTGCATTGCAATATTGAAAGATTCTATGGGCAAAATATTGAATGATGCAGGAAGTATCAAAAGAAGATGGAAGGAATACAGAGTCACTGACCAAAAAGAACTAGTCAATGTTCATCCATTTCAGGAGGTGGCATATGATCAAGAACCAATGGTATTGAAAGAAGAAGTCAAAGCTGCACTGAAAGAATTGGAGAAGAACAAGGCACCAGGAATCGACGGACTACCCATTGAGATGTTTCAACAAACGGATGCCCCGCTGTAGGTACTCACTTGGCTATGCCAAGAGATTTGGAAGACAGCTACCTGGCCAACTGACTGGAAGAGATCCATATTTGTACCCATTCCAAAGAAAGGTGATCCCACAGAATGGGGAAATTATCGAACAATATCATTAATATTGCATGCAAGTAAAATCTTACTGAAGATAATTAAAAAACGGTTGCAGCAGTATATTGACAAGAGAACTTCCAGAAATGCCAGCTGGATTCAGAAGAGGACATGGAACAAGGTTTATCATTGCTGATGTCAGATGGATTATGGCCCAAAGCAAAGAATACCAGAAAGATGTTTTCTTGTGTTTTATTGACTATGCAAAAGCATTTGATTGTGTGGATCATAACAAATTGTGGATAACATTGAGAAGAATGGGAATTCCAGAACACTTGATTGTACTCATGAGGAACTGTACATAGACCAGGAGGCTGTTGTTTGAACAGAACAAGGGGACACTGCATGGTTTAACATAAAGAAGGGAGTGTGTCAGGGTTGTATACTTTCACCATACTTATTCAATCTGTATGCTGAGCAAATAATTTGAGAAGCTGGACTATATGAAGAAGAACATGGCATCAGGATTGGCAGGAGAATCATTAACAACCTGCCATATGCTGACAACACAACTTTGGTTGCTGAAAGTGAGGATGATTTGAAGCACTTACTGATGAAGATTGAAGACCACAGTCTACAGTACAGATTACATATCAATATAAAGAAAACAAAAATCCTCACAATGGGACCTAAAAGCAGCATCACGATAGGTGGAGAAAAGATTTAAGTTGTCAAAGACTTCACATTGCTTGGTTCTACAATTAATGCCAATGGAAGCAGCAGCCAGGACATCAGACGATGTATAGCACTGGGCAAATCAGTTGCAAAGGACCTCTTTCAAGTGCTGAAGAGCAAAGATGTCTCCTTGAGGACTAAGGTGTGCCTGACACAAACCATGGTATTTTCAATCACCTCATATGCATGTGAGAGCTGGACAGTGAATAAGGAAAACTGAAGAAGAGTTGATGCTTTTGAGTTGAGGTGTTGGTGAAGAATGCTGAAAATACTGTGGACTGCTAAAAGAACTAACAGGTCTGTCCTGGAGGAAGTGCAGCCAGAATGCTCCTTGGAGGCAAGAATGGCCAGAGTTCGTCTCACATACTTTGGTCATGTTGTCAGAAGGGACCATTCCCTAGAGAACGATGTCATGCTTGATAAGGTGGAGGGTCAACAAAAGAGGGAAAGGCCTTCAACAAGATGTATTGACATGGTGGCAGCAGTAATGGGCTCAAGTATAGTAAGGATCATGGAGATGACACAGGACTGAACGATGTTTTGTTGTACTGTGCATAGGGTCGCTATGAGTTGGAGATGACTTGATGGCACCTAACAACAACAATGGGAACCTAGGGGCACTCATCCTTTGGATACCATAAAGCCTGCCTCCCGCATCCTCTGTTTGCTCACTCTGTTCCTGAGTACAACTTCTGTGTAGCCCTGCTTGAAGTGGTGACCTTCTCCCCCTGGCTATGAGTACATGTGACTAATAATCTGTTGATGTCATCAGTCCAGTGTTGAGTATTGTGTGTTTGGTTGTGCCTATAGTCCTAAGGCAGGAATTCTTCCTTCCCAATGGGGTGAATAGCAGGTGATTAAAACACTGAGAACAAGTAAAGGGACTCAACTAATAATTTTAAAACTTCCTACAAAGGAAAGGTGAGGGCCAGATGGCTTCACTGGTGAATTCTAAAGTCTCATAAACTCTTCCAAAAAATAGAAGAGAAAGGGCTATTTCCCAACTCATTCCATAGGCCAGAATTACCTCGATATCAAAAGCAGGCAAAGGCATCACAAGAAAAGAAAACTACAGATCAATATTCCATATGAATACAGATGCAAATATTTTCAACAAAATACTAACAAACTGAATCCACAACATAAAAAAAGATTACATACCTTGACTGAGTTGTAATCTAACCAAGGAATGCAAGGTTGGTTAAATATCCAAAAATCAATTATGCAGTACATCATATTAGTGGAATAAAGAATATAAACAACATGGTAATTTCAATAAATATATGAAAGGAATTTGAAAAATACAATTTCCTCTCAAAAAATTAGAAATAGAAGTAAATTTCTTCAACCTGATAAAGGGGATCTTTCCTTCACCCCAAATGGTGAAAGACTGAATCCTTTCCTTCTAAGATCTGGAACAAGACAAAAGTGTTCATTCTCACTATTTCTACTCAACATTGTGTTGAAGGCTCTAGCCAGGTCAATTTGGCAAGAAAAATAAATAAGAAGTATCCAGATTAGAATGGAATAAGTAAAATTATATTTTCAAGTGACATGATCTTGTATATAGAAATTCTTAAAAATCTACAAAGAATTATTAGAACTGATAAATTCAGCAAATTTATAGAATACAAGATCAAAATACAAAAATTAGCTGTATTTCTGTGTACTAGAATGAGCAATCTAAAATGAAATTATGGACATATATTCTTTCATAGTAACATCAAAATGAATAAAATACTTAGCAATAAATTTTACAAGAAAAGCACAAAACTTGTACCCTGAAAACTACAAAACATCATTGAAAGAAATGAAGGAAGATCTAAATGGAATGATACTCCATGCTCATGGATCACGAGAATTATTAATATTGGTAAAATGTCAGTACTTCCAAAATTAATCTACAGACTCATCACAATTCCTCAAAATTCCAGCTGCCCTTTTTTTTTTTTTTTTGCAG